GTGTGTGTGTGTGTGTGTGTGTGTGTGTGTGTGTTTGGTGATTTTCTAAGCAATGATTTCAATCTTTCAAAATGTGCGGGTCAGCATAGAGTGCGGTGCGTTCTTCTCAGGCATTTTAAAATAGACCTGCTATCTACAGCCTTTTCCACTTCAAAATCGCTCCTCAGGTTTTCATCAGATGGTGTCATCCCTGGATGTAACCAGTAAATGACTTCAGAAACCCCAGAGTCTGCAGGTGGGCAGACCGAGACCCAGAAAGGGGAAATCGTTTCCCCTGCCACTTTGAGTCAGCAAACCCTCTCTAAAATTATCTCACCACCGACACTCTATTGCTAATAAAATCTGTAGTGAATGAAAGGAACCCAGGTCAGGCCATGAGGAAGACTTGGTTTTAGGTGTACTTCTTCAGGGACCACTGACGTCATGGGGCCCAAAGGAGAACCTGAGGCGGACCGACCAAGAGACCACACATGTTCTTTTAATAATCACAGTGGGCACTGGTGCATCAATAAGCCGTGGTGTGCAAGAAGTGAGCAATGAGTGGGAAAACAGTGAGGGGACCGGGGCAAGGTGCACTGGAAGGTCAGTAAAATGCCATGGCAAGCGGTGACGTGATCCACAGCACCATCGCCTGATACGACACCACTCTCCTACTTTAGATGTATCACACTTCAGGAAAAGTCACTGTAGGGACCTGCTTTTCTGTGGCATGGGAATCGTACTTTTTTTTTTCTTTGAAACCAGAGGGTAAGGGCCTTGGCTAAATCTGGGAAAGCCGTGATCTTCCATTGGAGCTGAGCCCTGCCTACCGCATCAGTTAGAAGGTCTTGTGTCCAATGAGGTTTCCTCGTTTCACAACCCCAGGAAGATTTATGACAGGTAAATCCTGGAGCCTAAGAAATATTTTGTGTCTGAAAAAACTGCATCAGGATCCCCAGTCACATCCCTCCTCAACATCGTCTACTTAACTACAACGCCTGAGGAGCATCACATCCCCTATTTTGGCGATTTTATGGAGCACTGGGTGTTATACGAAAACAATGAATCATGGAACCCTACATCAAAAACTAATGATGTAATGTATGGTGATTAACATAATAAAATAAAATGAAAAAAAAAAAACCTAATGTGATGTGCCAGACAGGCACTGGATAAGCATGGCCTCGCGAGGACTGGGATTTATTTCAGCACCTGTGACCCCCAGCAGGTGCCTCTCCCCATCTGGGCTGCCATCTCCCCTTCCAGAAGATGAGAGATGTACTGAACAATCTCTACAGCTCTTTCCCTTCACCCCGTTAGCCTGGGGTCCCCCAGCTCATTGCCTCCAGGATCCTCCCTAATTGTATGCAAGTTCAAAGCTTCCTGGAAGCCCCCCTATTCTTCCTAACCCTTAATGCTTTGGCCTGGGTGTTAGGAGGCCAAGGTTTCAGCCCTCATTCTGGCTCTTGTCGGGTGCTGCGAGCAACTTCTTCGTTAATCTCGAGGACAATCGGACAAAACTGTCTCTTAACACATCTCAAATTCAGCCCTAAAACTCACTCCAGACCCTACTTAAGAACACCTTTTTGGGAACTGCTGTAACCACTACAGAGAATGAGTTTTACAAAATGCGGGACAATGACTGCAATCGTAGATCTTTTGGAAGAAGAGCTAAAGGGACGGCAGCTGTGTCCTCAGAGAAAGGTGCTGTACCTTGGCCACTTCCCCTCCTGTTTCCTGCTCCCCTCTTTACACTCCTCAGGCTGGTATTTACCTGCCAACCAACTCCAGCAAAAACTGCTCAGTCACAGTAGCTACAGAAACCAATAAAGTGGCCAATAATAATGTAGCCTCGCTACATGGCAAGGGGGGACCTATTTGTGAATTAAATAATATTTTCTCTTTACATTGGAGATATCCTGCACTGCAGGTACCCAAAGAGATAAAAATACTTTCTCCACAATCCTGGGGCCCCCGAGAAACTAAATACAGAGGGAGGGAGAGAGAAACAGACAGAGAGACAGAGAGAAACATGCCATGAATCTTAAACATCTTCCTAATTGGATAATTAAAGGAGCTCTGGATGGTAGTTGAAAAGCCCAGATCCCAGTAAGGGCTCCACCAACTATTTTGCTAGCTGTGCAGGCTTGGCTTGATCTCACACCCTATCTAGGCCATTTAGAGGATTACGGATTTTGAAACCTAGCAGGAACCCTTCCAAAGTTATCCAACCTACTGCTTTTTCAAACTTTTTCACGCCTAAGAACGACCTGGAGAGCTTGACAGAACACACTGCGGGTCCCAGCCACCAGTCTCTAATTCAGGAAGTCTGGGGTGGGGTCCAAGAATTTTTTTAAAGATTTTATTTATTTATTTGACAGAGAGAGAGACACAGCGAGAGCGGGAACACAAGCAGGGGGAGTGGGAGAGGGAGAAGCAGGCTTCCCGCCCAGCAGGGAGCCCGATGCGGGGCTCATCCCAGGGCCCTGGGATCATGACCTGAGCCAAAGGCAGATGCTTAACGACTGAGCCACCCAGGTGCCCCAAGAATATGCATTTCTAAGGAGTCCCCAGCTGCTGCTGGGCTGTCCTTGGGCCACACGCTGAGAAGCACTTGACAGTGACTGACTGTCAACCATTGCTGGAAATCTGAATTACCTGAGGAGGAGCGCGGACAACACAACAGGCCAAGGCCCAAAGTGCGCCAGACTCTGTGAATCTGAATCTCTGGTCTGATGCAGCAGTGGCAACTATAGTCTTAACAAACTCCCCATATGATCTCAATGTGCAGAGAAGGTCCAGAGCATTGAGTCCAGTCCCCTCATTTTACAGACAACAAGACAGTTCAGAGGATCCAGGGGTATCTGCTTTGATCCATGCATCTGCCAAGGGGGACGCTTTGGACACGAAACAATTTGGAGATCCCAGTCTTTAATTTTGGGGCTGAAATAGTCTAGAGCTACAGGTCTCCCTCATCTCCAATCCCATCACACCCAAATAATGATAGCCAGACAGACCCTGCAGGCTAAGGGGGGCGGGGAGGGAGCGCTTTCTTTATCTGGCTACCCCAAGGAAGCAGAAGGACTCAAAGAGGACCACTCGTTGCTGGAAAGGCTCTAAGCACTCTTAAAGCTGGCCTCTGCGTAGTTTCTAAATATACCAGGCAGTCAGACACTCTGAATAACTCTTGGCTGATTTGGCTTCCCTGGGATAAACTTTTTTTCTCTCCTTAGAGTATGCTACACCAGGAATAGAGCCCTAAGGGGAGAAATTCCTCTTCAAAGTCAGAGCGAGATAACACTGTGTGTGGTATTCAGGTTGTTCTCCTTTGGAAAGAGGGGAAAAAAGGTGGGAGGCAAACTTCTAACACCAGCCAACATCAAAAAGGATATTCAGACTTTCTGTGTGTGGCGTTCATGGAGGGGAGGCAGGGCGAGAGGGGGATGTGGTCAGGCAAGAGACAGTGAACACGTCCCCATGCCAGGTTGGCAGGGGGGAGGACCATGGGCACCAGGTCCGGGTGCTCCAGGTGACAGTGGGCAACACGGGCGCTGGTCCCCGTCCCTGCACCGGCTCTCAGAGCGCAGGTCGGGTGCCCAGCTCACTCCCCGGGGGGGCGGGGGGGGCGCAGGTACAGTCTGACCATCTCTAAGCCAGAAGGCAGACACTTTACCTTGCCCTCTGGTTCTTGCTCCTCCTTTTAGTGAGATGGGGGAGGGGGGGGTCATTCGATGTCACCTAAAAATTGCCTGGAACACATGCAGACATTCGTATCTTCTCTTTCCCACGAATATGAAACATTTCCTTCTTAATGCAAGCCAAGCCTCTCTATTTTACAACACAGCAATATAGTTGAGTACCGGAATTGGGTGGGATACGGGGACTATCCTCTCCCTTTACAGACGATAACATTGTAAAAACTACCATTTATTAAGTACCCACTATGTATCAGGCACGTCATACACATTAAATCCAATGTGTATAATGAACTGTAGGTTATAGGAGATGGGGCAGAGTCAAGGAAGAAATGATGTGCCCAAAACCGCACGGCTAGGAGTGTGTCAGAGCCAGGATTCATGTGCAGGTCTCTGCTCCACACATCGGGGAGAGGAGGAAGAAGCAATGGAGACCGGTTTCCTGCCTCCCCCACCCACCGCCTGAGGGCAACTGACCCACCCGCCTCAGCTGACATCAGCCTGTGCTTTTTAAGACTTGAGCCAAAACTTTATTTAGAAGGTCTAAATTTCTAAGTGTCCAGGGGGCAGTCTGTTAGCTCTCTCTTGCTGCCAGAGGGAAAAAAATCAACCTTTCAGTTTCAACCTTAACCGGGGAGAAGCCCAGCTGCTAGTAACACAGGGCAGGGGAAAAAAAAAAAAAAAAAAAAAAGGGCCACCAAAGGGCACTTCTTCTCCATGGGAATTTCTCCAATGTGCTGAAAGCTCAAGGAAACAATGTGCTCTAGGGGAGGTATGGAGGCCCTGACTCTGGCCCCCACCCCTGGAAGATGCAAGTGTTCCCCAGGGCTGGCGGGGGGCCCACAAGGCAAAGCACCAATGTGCATGAGCACAGGTGTGCACAGGGCTCTGTATTGGGGGGGAGGGGAGGAGGCATTACAGGCAGAGGAATACCCACAGCATGCCTTTCTCCCTTCTTTCTTCCTTATCTCTAAAACAAGGTTTCTCAACCCTGACATTTGGGACTGGATCACTCTGGGCATTGTAGGGTTCAGCAGCATCCCTGGGCTCTACCCACCCAGTCATGATAATCAAGAACAACTCCAGACATTGCTGAAGCATCTCCTGGGGGGGATGGGCAAAATCACCCCCTGAGAACCACTGTTCTAGGAAAAGAAGTTCACTAGAAGGGGTGTGTCCTCTCTGAAGGAGCCGAAGACTCGTAATCTTCATATTCTGATCAGGACTCATGTATTTTCTACTGTGAAATGCATAAAAAAGCAAGGTCACGTACTAGCACCTCGACGGTCTCAAGTGTGATGACCAAGTCTCATATCTTCTCTCCAGCCCCAACAAAGGGCCCCTTTCTGCCCTGTTCTTCTCCACCAATCCTGCCAGGCCTGCCTCCAAGGCAACCAGTTCCTCAAAGTCTCTGTAGCCCACTGGCAAGTCAGCCGTCCTTGACCTCCATGCAGGCAGATTCCTCACCAGCTCTGCTCCCTCTGTGCCCCCAGAGTCTGCTTGCCACATACGAGGTATTCCATCAACCTTTCTGAAAAAAATCCATTACTGAGTAAGTAAATATATTTGAGGAAACAAATGCTCTTACAGTTTGTCCAGGTGACAAATTTCTTCAGAGTATTCTCTTTCAAGGGATGTTCATTGTCTCTCACCCACCCAACAAATGCTAAACTTCTCTGAGGCAAGAAGTTCTGGCCCAGCCGTTCTCAACATGGGCTGCACACCTCTGAAAAACCTCGAGGTCCAGTCAGCTGCCCAATGCCAACTAAACAGAACCTTGGCGGGGGGAGGGCGGTCATATCCAGACGTCCTAGCTCTTTTCTTTTTTAAGATTTTATTTATTTGAGAGAGAGAGTGCACGTGAGCAGGGAGAGGCGCCGGGGGAGAGGGAGAGGGAGAGAATCTCAAGCAGACTCTTCGCTAAGCGCACAGTCCGACACGGGGCTCAACGCAGGGCTCAATCCCATGTCCCTGAGATCGTGACCTGAGCGGAAACCAAGAGTCCAGGCTTGACCGAATGAACCCCCCAGGCGCCCCTAGGCATCCTAGTTCTTAAAAGCACCCCCAGGTGATTCTGAGATGCAGCCAGTGTGGAGAGCCTCTGCCCTACTGCTTTGGGAATGAATGCCGGGGATCCACCTCAAGCAGCACAGAGGAGGCTTACAGGTACCGGGGAGGAGGCCGCCCGTGTTAGCTAAAACGGCAAAGTTCTCCGCTTGTGTATGGGTTGATAGCGTCTTATATGATTACACTGGCTCTTACGGATCAGAAGTTCTGGTTGGCTTTGATTAATCAAAATGAGAAAATTAATGAATGATTACCAAATAAATACCTTCTGCTCAGGAAACTAAATCTTTGTAAACATGAGTTCGTGTGGGACTAATAAGTTGGATGCTGTCGTATTTAGACTTGCCTTTTATCTTCCCAAGGGCCTGGTAGAGGAAAGAACTGTGTAACACTTGCTGACGAACAGACTGATTCAGTTGAGGGTTTTTATTATTGTTGTTGTTGTTGCTGCTGCAGCTGTTGTTGTTGTGTTGCTGTTTAGGTTGAACCCGAAGTACCCAAATTCCCCTTTCTGAAGTAAAAATAATCACAGGAAGAAATGACAGTGGGATACGTGGCTATTTCTTCCACATAAAACACAGGCTGTTCCTCCTGCAGAGATCCCAGAACCGTAATCCCGGCAGCAGCTACCAAGACTCAAAGGCGAAGGGAGAAAAATCACATAATGGGTGGAGATTTGGTTGGAAGAATAGATGTGGGTAAATTACATCATTCCTGGGTTTGTCCAGTGAATCGGATCACACAGCTTGCCACACAATGACTTCTGACTCTCCTGGGGCCAGCAAAGCAGCCCCAGGCAGGCCTTATCAGGAGGAATCAGTGTGGAAAAGTACTTTCTGAAATAAAACTAACATAAACCAGGCGTGTCAGAGTTGGTTTTGCTAAATTTCAGGAATGTGGGAGGAGTTAGTTTCCTATGCATACAGGTTGGGACAGACTCTGGGCTGCTAAAAGCACCCTGTCCATCCTCCTTCTTTCTCTGTTAACAGGTAAGAACCGAGAAGCCCCAGAAAAATAAACTCTCCTGTTTGTTTTTGGAGAAGACAAGCAGAGAAAAACTGGAGCAAGAGAGCAAGGAGGTGACGAGCTGCTGCCTGAACAGGAGGCTCAGGGTGGACAGAGAGAGGAGAGTGGGCCCAGCCTGCAGATAGACTCCGCTGAGCGGCCCCCCACTGATTGTCTGGACCAGCACTTAGATCCCGCCCTTTTCTCCCTACATCCTCCAATAAACCGAATGAAGTCAGATTCAAGAGAGCATGCTTGTACTTGCTGAAACACACAGGAAGGAAACATTCAGTTAGAGAACTGGATTTGACGCGGCTTTACATTTTAGAGTCTCAGGAACGTTGAGCTGCAAAGTGCACCTACAACCATTCTGTCCTTCATTTTACAGAGGGAGAGTGGAGCAATGGGGTGTTCAATGATTTCTTTCAGGTCACAGAGCTATTTTGGGTAAAGCAGGGATAAACCTCATGTTCCCTTTTCTCCACTTAAACGCTGTCACTTAATACATATGTTACAACTGATCACTTCAGAGCCAATGGATGTAAGTCAGACTTGCTTAGTCAGCGATTGGTTTTAAACCATGGGGGAAAAGAAGTTTCTTAAATGGAGAGTTGTTCATATGTTTAAGTGATCATTTTTACGAGTGATAATTTTCCTAATTAAATTAGTGCGGAGTACTTGTCTTTTCCGTAAACAACTCCACTCCCTTCGTAGGAGTGTTTCTAGCAGAACTGACAACAACATAAGGGAGCCAAAATACTGCAAAGATAAGGTCTTGAAGCTCAGCAGAGCCCCGGTAAGAGTGAGGGCAGGCTTCCGGGCACTTGTCCGCCTCACTGTGCCAACGGCTCAGGCACTGGAAGGTATACCCTGCGACCATCCAGAGGATCCTCAGCAAGAGGAGACACAGCGGCCGGCATGAGGAGCTCTTCCCCGGCAGGCTCTGCAGTGAACAAGCCGGCTGCTCTGCCATGACATCATAATGTGTCAAGAAGTAGATGCTATTCCCTAAAGTCACCGGGTAAGTCCCCAAAGATACGCCTTTCCCCCTACCTCCACATTTTGCGGCTGGGTGGCGGAGCTGGGGGAGGGGTGGAGAAAGATTCCAAAAGGAGGCAGCCTCCCCTCCCCTCTGCTCAAGAGGGGTGGCACCATTTCTCTGGACCATCACCACTGGCTTTCCCAGGAACCAGCCAGAAACGAAGATTCTATACGCCCGGGGGTGAACTTCTTTCAGTAGCCAGAGGGGTTTTTTCCCACCCCGCATCTTCTGGGAAATTATCCTCTGGGGCTGCATTTTATCTTTGATCTTTAAAGCGGTCGCTCTGTTCCGGCCTTGAAAACAAACTCAAAAAACGAATGTATACAAGTCCAAATGAGTGAAACAGACGAATCACATTACAGGAAATGTTTTCTTTTTTTCTTTCCATTCCTTTCTTAAAGAAGGGTTTTCCCATACTTTCTTTAAGTGGCCAACACCTACAGTGTTAGTATTTATTTTTTAAAGAAACGACTTCCCAAAAAACTCAGTTTCTACATAACATATCTTTTTCAGTAATTCACCTGTCTCATAAAGGGAAGGGCACCTGTCCCCAGGTTGTCCACCACAGGAGTCCACTCAGTTACGTATTTAGTCAGAGCTTCTGGGGCTTGTCTGAATTCCATCTTCAACTCTGCAGCATGTTTCTGAGAGGGAAAGCAGAGCCTGTTTGTGGAGACTCTGAAAGTACTTCAGGCTGACAGGTGCTATATAAATGAAATATCCTTCCAATTATTGCTACTGTACTATATCGAATTAAGCTATGTCACCATAACTAAGGAAACAAGCCCGCCTACACAGCAGTGCCCTTTCTCGTCCTGGTACTATTCATGCTCATCTTCTCATAAATAAAATCATTTCTAAAGAGAAATCTAAATTACCTTCAAAAGCATTATTGTTCCTTGTACATTACTGCACACCATCATGATTAAATTGACAGGCCTTCAAAGTCTGTAAACGGATTCCCAGGTAACAGCTCAAAATGCTCTCCCTTCTTGGTACCCAAAGTACCTTTCATCTGCTCTCTTCGCAGATAGCGAATTTGAGAGAAGGATCAGAAACTGAAAGCTATTGACAGCATGACAGGAGCATCTCAGCATGACAGCTGATGGAGAAGATCACATTTCCCCCGACAAACTCAATTGCTTGAGTAAATCAAGCGAAAGTCAATACATCCCCTCACTCCTCTGGTCACATATGGTCTTCCAACTCTGTGCCACTGAACTTACTGGTAGAGAGGGGAAAGAAGAAAGCCCAAATCTTCAAGGGATACCTGACTGATGCCAAAAGAAGTTTTCTTTCTCCCACGGATAGCTTCTCTTTGCCAAACAAAGTTGATGTTGTCTTAGAGCTGGAAACATATTCTCTCCTCCCCACAGGCCCTACCTGAGGTCTTACCTTGCCTGCTTCCTCTGGTCTTTACCATGAAGGCTTATTTGTCCAAAACTAGGATCTCCAAGTTCCCCACGGCATATCTGCCCTTTCGCTTTGGCCCATGACTTCTGCTTATAGCTGTATAACAACAGAATGTATAACAACAGAATGCCACAACCAAGTGGTATGGAAAAATATGTAATTCTAGGGGAAAAAAATCCAACAGCCCTAAAATCACATGTTTGCATTTCTATGTGTGCTAGCACTTAGGTCTAAATCTGGGCTGACATCAATATTAACCCAAGAAGTCTAGGATGCACATGTTCTTTATGAGTCAATAAGCATGTATACCGGGCAAATCAAGAATGTCAACTCTCTAGCTTTCAAAACCTTTGGGAGAGACATCGACCAATAATTATTAAAATATTGCATTTCTAAGGAATAAAGGAGGTGCTCTATCAGACAGGAAGTTGGCTTGGAGACCGGAAATAAAGGGTAGGGCCAATGGGCATATCTCAGCAAGCTGCATCAGTGAAAAATCAATAGTGGGACCGACAGACAGTAATGATCCAGGGGAAGAAATACCCCATGAAACATAGGGCTCTACAGGATCATTTACAAAAACAGGGGAAAACTCGTGGGAGAGTGGGTGAGAAAAAAGAATGAACTAAAAAGTGTTTAGCTTGCACAAATAGAAGTAATACTTCGAGTTAGGGTGAGAGTGATTGGAGAAGACTTACAGGATAATGACAATGTTCTTTCATTTAGGAGTAGGTCACGCTGACAAAATCCAAGGTGGCAAAATTCTGACATGTCACTAAAGACACAAGAGAAAAAGTCAATGCTGACCTGTCCTTTTACGAAATCACACTTAGCCTAAACTGGAAATGTCATGTGTTGTTGGGGATGTTCTATCTCAATAAAGAGATAACAGAAGAGAAGAACTGCAACTAAAATCAACAAGGAGAGGGGACAACAGTCTTAAAGTGATAGATTAATAACATTTGGTCTCTAAAGGGAAGCAGAAGGCTGAGTGAAGAGTCAAGAAAGTCCAGAGACTGGTAAGTCAATAAACATAGCCTTGCTCACCAACCCTCAAAAATTTTCATCCATAGGGAATCTCCTTAATGCTCAAAAAGAAAAAAAAGAAAAAAAGAAAAAAGGCCAAACAAAAGGCCATTCGCTTCCCATGGCAGTATATAAACCATACAAGTAATAGGTAACCTCAGTGGTACCCAACTCCCCTGATCCCCAAAACCAGCTCCAACAAAAGAACAGATTCATAGTGGATGATCGAGGAAAACCAGGCCGTCAAGGAAATACGCATAATGTAACCTCTGAGGCTGATTTTTGGAGGGAACAGTCATGTCCCAGCAACTTCATGTGTTTAATGTCTCACGCATAAAGGCTTTGAGTGTCTGTCAGAGAGAAAAGCTCTGCAATTTGACCGGGAATCTAACCCATATGTCACTGTTTATGTTCTCTTGTGAGTGTGTGTGCATGATGGTGTGTATATATATTAAAATCCAAACGTCATCAATAAAAACTATTGAAAGTGCTCCTAAAATAAGCTTCCTTTAAAAATGAGTTAAACAAATATGGGATGATTGATGTTGAATATACAAAGCACATAGATTATAAAGTTCTGTTATCATAAGCTAAACGGTATAAGCCTCAGGGATTTCCTCATTTCCCTTAAGAAATGCATGCAGTTTCACATAAATGCCTCACAATCGTTCTAAAATTTATCGGTAGTCATCAGGAACCCCCAGGTATAAATATGCATATATTTTGGCTGCAGTAATATCAAGTGGAAAGAACTGTACAGGAGTAGAGCGACGGAATTCGGGTCCTAGGTCTGTCACACCTTGACTATGTCATCTTGAGCAAGTTGCTAAATTTCCCATGTTTATTTCAGTCAACAAAGATTAAGCTCCCAGCATGTGCTAAGCACTGTTCTACAATACAGACCAAGGAAAATAGCTCTACTGAAGCTGAAATCCCAGCATGGAGAGACAGATAATGATAACATAAACAAATCACATTCACAATTCGGGGGCAATAAGTACTCTGCAGGAAATAAAGCAGGTCAGTGTGACAAGGAATGACTGGGCCATAGGGACTTTACGTGGGAGAATCTGCAAAGGCCCCTCTAAATAAGTGACTTGTGAGCCAAACTCAACTCACAGGAAGGAGCGGGTCACGTAATGGCAGAGAACGGTATTCCAAACAGAGTGATAGCAAGTCCAAGGCTCCTGATGAAGATCTGGTTTAGGGCTATTTAAGGAACAGAAAGACAAGAATGGTCAGAAGAAGTCATAAAAATCATTCATTGGCCAGCCTCTCTGAAGAATATTGTGAGAATGAATGAAACAAGCTGGGTAAGCCCTTGAAAAATTTAAAGCATGCTACAAAATAAAGTGAATTATTAGAACCAGCATACTATGAGGAAAAACTACTACCCTCCATAGTGTATCTTTAGGAAAGGTTAGAATTATAGTTTCTTTCATCCACATATCTCAAAACATTATACTTAGAGCTAGAGAGAATAGTCCAACCTATTCATCTTCTAGATCAGAGAACAAAGACACTAACTTAGCCAAGACCATGTCAGTGGCTTTCCAGGACGCAGCCCACCAGGCCCGGGTGCCCCACCTGACACCCTGCATTGGGCTGCTTGAACAAAGCTGCCCACTCCTTTTCCAGGGCTGACTAATTTCACTACAAGAAATCTACAATGCAGGCGAAACAAACCAATTGCCCGAGGCTTCAGGTGAACAACTGGTAGCATCAGCACCAGGGAGATAGGAATCTTTGAGACTTGACTCTAGACTCACCACCTACAGGTCTTATGACCTTGGACAAGTTATTTAAATTCTCCAAGGCTTTAGGTTCTGTATTTCAAATTGGAGGATAATAGAAATGTCTTTCCTGCCTATATTAAGGAGTTCCGAAAGGATCAAATATTCTACTAGATGTGAAAGTCTAAAGAAACTATAAAGGACAATAGACTATCATGCCCCTTGTCATTTGTACGAAGCCTCTCCTTAGGTCACTGCCCAAACACTGCCTCGGACATTCTACCATGTAGCACAATCACCACTACCTTGGATCGGCTGTGGGAATAGACTTTTATTGTGTGAGTTTAAAACAAACAAACAAACAAACAAAAACATCTGAGGAGCTCCATGAACAACTTGATGGTTTATGAAATCTACCTCGTAGATATGCTTCTCCCCGATTTCCTTTTCATTTGAATTCCCACTGTTGGGAGAAGCAACCACAGATTATGCTGGAAATACCTCTTCCTGGATGAAGACCCAGGATTCTGCTGAAGACAAGCCATGGGACCTTGAGTAAGTCTCTGAACGTTAGGCTACCATTAACATAGTGTGTTTCCATTCCTGGAATATGCAGAACACTTATCTGCCCACCACAACGTGCAAGATACCTCATATTTGTCAAGTTTCCCAGAGTTCATGGAGCAATTTCAAATCCGGTATTTTATTTGATCCTTTTAGTAATCCTGGGAAGAGTGAGAACAGGGATGAGGAAAGCCAATCTAGAGAGGATAACATGGAGGCCGACTCATGGAAAATCCCAGAAGTCTACACATTCTGACTCTTAGTCTAGTGCTCTTTGAAGTTCACTGAGACTCTTTCAGGTAAGGATCTAGTGACGATCAGATGGGGTCACATATATGAAAGCCGTTAGAGCTTCCCAGATATAATTATCCTGAGGACAAGGTGGTTGTGACATGCCACCTTCCTTTGTCTGGCGTGGTATCTGCCCATCTAGAGTATAACCCAAGAGGAAGAGGAATCCGCCTCCCCCAGGACACCTGGAAAAGTACACAGTATGCCTCTATCCATCCCTGTTGATGGCCTGAGTTTAGCCCAAAAGATTATCTAGCTCTCTCCACTGGAACCATACCAGTCCTTTCAGAAAGGGGCCTCCTCTGGAGTCCCAGCAGGAGGAAAAACAACACACCCAAACTAGGCAATTTCCATACAGCCATGAAACTTGGAGTTAGCACTCTTGACACGGCTTCCTTTCTGTTTCTTCCTGACTTTTCTCCCCTTCCCCTATGAGGTAAATAAATATTTTTAAAAAGAAGGAAAGTTGTGTGCTCTTTTGTTCTGTCTGATCTACATATTGGAACCAAAAGGCTGTATTTTTCCCCCAAAGCAGTCATGTTGGCCAAGCAGCAAAAATGCATTTCTTTAGAAAAAAAATAAAAGTTTATTTTACATGTTGTAAATACCAGGAAATTCTTATCAGGATGTGAAAGTTCAGGTCTGGTTTTTCTTTTATCCCCGTTCTTTCTCTTTAAGGGAGAGAAAGAAGAAAACAAATCTCTCTCTTTATAATGGAATCCCTTCTTTCTGCATCTGCCCTGCTGGAAGCAGCCTACCTCTAAGTGGCTTCTAATGTTCTGGTTGAGGTCGTCCTGCATTCCTAACAGCTACTTCATTTTCCTTAATCCCTCAGACCAGAAGGGAATAATGCAATACCCACGATAAAGCAGTCCTGGTTTTCGGACATCCCTCTAGCAAAGGGCATTTTATGACAAACTCAAAAGGCTGAGGGTTGCCAATAGGAAGGGTTGTATTTGATTGAAACAGTATTACAGCGCCTTAAGTCATAGAATTACCAAAACCGGGTGATGAATAGGCTTTCTCCAGTCCAACTCCTTCATTTTACACTTGGAGAACCAGAGCATCAAGAAGCCGCAACTTGGCCCCACTTGATCACTTCTCAGAGGCAGAGGTGGGATGAGAACCCAGGCTCTTGGTTCCTTTCTTTGCACTGTTTCCTTCTCCCTTGCATTCTGTCATGTACAGCATGGGACTAGTCTTTCAAAAGGGTGTCTAATGAGGAATTATGCATTTCTTCCTTCACTCATCAGTTTGGCAAACATTCAGTGGGCACCTTTTATGCCAGAAATTATGCTAGGCAATGGGGGATACTTAAATGAAAATGATGTGCGCCCTTCCCGCAGTGTGTGTGTGTGTGTGTGTGTGTGTGTGTGTGTGTGCGCTTGTCTCAAGAAACACAACATTGTGGCTTTAGTGATTAAAAAAAAGGGACACATTAAAAAAATATCCAGGTGGGAGTGGTGCCAATTAGAACACTGTGGGCCAATTCTTTCGTGTCTCTAAGAATTTCATTTAGGTGAGCATATCTCCCATATTCCCCCTTATTAGCTACAACCCATTCTCCACATGGCAGACAGAACAATCACTGAAGGGATGCCGGGTGGCTCAGGTGGTTAAGCGTCTGTCTTTGGCTCAGGTCATGGTCCCAGGGTCATGGGATCCAGTCCCGCATCAGGCTCCCTGCTCAGCAGGGAGTATGCTTCTCTCTCTCCCTCCTGCTCCCCCTGCTTGTGCGTGCTCTCTCTCTCCGTCAAATAAATAAATAAAATCTTAAAAAAAAAAAAAAGACAATCATCGAAATAATTAACTAAGGTCATGTTGTTTCCCTGCTTACATTCTTCAATGAGAAACATCTGAGGAGCTCCTGGGATGAAATCCAGAAGACCCCTACCATGAACCCCCTTAATCTCCCCACCCCGCTCCCGCTCCCTCCCCCAGTCCTGGCTGCACACCTCCCCTTGCCAGACTTACTCTTGCCTTGGGGCCATTTGAGCAAACTGCCCCCTTTCTTTGGAACTCATTCTCTTGACCCAGCCAGATTGTGCCATCCCACCCAATGCACCCTTCACCTAGCTGACTCCTTATTCTTCAGCTCCCAACTTGGACACCACTTCTTTAGGGAGACCTTTATGACTCTCACCAACGAGGTGAGGGCCCTGTCTGGGCTGCCACGGCACATCGCTTCCTCTGCCCTACATTCAACAGCTTTATCACATTTCGTTGTTTAAACCTCTCTTCTCCAACAGGCTATAACCTGATGAGGGCCAGGATTAGGTGTGTCTTGCTCACTGTCAGGACAAGGTCTAGAACAGTGCTTGACTGGTAGCCGGTTTTATATAAACACTCACTGTTTGAACAGAAGGATGGATGAGTGGATGAGTAGACGAATGAAGAGGTAGAATATGAATATATGAAGATGCGAATATGGACAGTTCAAATGAGGGATGCCACAAAATCACAACTGAAATTAAAAGTTCTAGCCTAGACTTAGTCAATTCCGGAACTCAAAAACAAGGGGGTACGTCCTAAAGCATGAAAAAGGGACCTTTGGAAGAAACAAACACTTAAGATTCGTTATCCTAAAAAGTGATGGGGATAATTTAAAATCCTAAGCACCGAAAGGATGAAAGGAAGAAAGAAATGACAGTTCTAAAATGAGAAACACAATTCAGAGGGGCGAGGATGGGACGAGTCGGCAGGGACATGGGGCTCCTCACCTCTCAGCTGTCCCTCTTCCTCTGTGGGTGATCAGGAAGGTACATGAAGGAGAGAAGAGGAAGATGCCCATTTTCTGGAGCCTTGTGAGGATCATCGTCATGGAGCACAACCGGGTCTCCCCCAACTTGTGCCCCCCTGCCGCCGCCCCCCCCCGGGGGGGGGGGGAGGCAGAGTTAGAGCCCTGCCTGCCTGTTTCCTGTTTCTGTGTAAGTGGAGGACCGCACACTTGGGCACAGGTCCGGTCATGTTGGTGGTAGGCAGGCAGGGAAGGAGCTCCTCAAAGCCTACCTCTTAACAAAGTCTCCCTGCAGTTAGCAGTGGGCAGCCTGGACTAGCGGTCTTTCCCTCTCTCTGTTCCCCTTTTCTCCCTCCCTCCCTCTCCCTATCTGTCCTCTCTGGCCAACTTTGTCTGCAAAGTAACCACTGGCAGGCTATTGTTATAAAAGAAAAAGGAACTGCAAGACTCCCCTCAGTCACAAAGGGAAACTAATATACACCAAGGCAGTTTATGTATTTTGACATCTGTGACGCATGAGGTGTTTCTCGCACCCCGGACACCGATCGTCCCGGTTTTGGGGGGGTGTGCTATGCTATGCTCTGCCCCAGGCAAGCCTTCCCCAGCCTGGAGCACTTTGCGGGGACTCCACGCATGCCCTTCAGCCGCCCACATCCCGGCCAAGTGCGAGGCTCTGAAGAAGATGACATGGTGCACATTTCCGGAGAACAGAAGCTTTACCCACCCCCTACGCCCCCATCCCCGGCTCTGACAGGGCTGTGCTTTCCTCCTGGTGAAATTCTGGAAACCCGGCCTCTTCTAACTTGTCTAGTGACTCTCTGAAGTCACAAAAGCAACATTGTCCAGCCCTGTCTTAAGGAAGATTAAACTGCATTTAACAACCCAGGAAAGGTAATGATCTCACTACAAAATCAACACGCGGCGGTGGCCGGGAGGCTGCTCCAGTCACTACTCAGTGGCCACCCAACACCTCAGGCCTCAACCAGCCATTCATCCTTCTTCTTCCACTCGGCTGCCCAGCTCCAAGGCTCTGACCCAGTGACATCACCCCACACTGAACAGGATTAAATGCTCGGGGGCGGGCGGGGGGGGGGGGCGCTAAGTAAATAGACCTCAGCAGGCAGCTCAGTCCCTGCAGGGGCTCCAGTGGAGAGATCCCAGGTCTGCCCCGGGCTTTGGGCAGGAA